ATTAGTGGTTTTTAGAAAGGCCCTTTCTTACAATTTTAAGGAAGCTGCTAACGAAGTTTTTCCACAGAGAGGGACTTGCATGGCTGGCTGAGGAGAACAGAAAACACACAAGCTGCAGTTGAATGTATGCTGGATTATGAGTCAAGGGAGTTTTTTTCTGACCTCCAGACCTCAGTTTCCTTGTTGATACCATGATTTCTAAGTTCTTGGGATCCTATTAATCAGGATGAAACCATGAATTCTTAAACTCCTAAAGCCAAGAACTTTGATGACATACTTTTCAGATTAGCATGTTAAACAATGCGGATACAATTATCACGGAAATGGTAGGTTTGAGGTGGGGAAGAACTGTAGGATTGGAGTAGAAGGCAGGTATGCGCTCACCCAAACTACTCTAATAAAAATCCAGGAATTGGTTAATATTTGTAAGAAAGATATGATAATGAACTCATTAAAGTACCTGGAGTATACCTGCAAACTTTACCCTGATTAGTAGGTTAATGTTTATAGATATGATTTCCAATGGTTTTAGATATATTCATGGATATTAGGAAGATATACCACAAAAGAAAGGTGCTTGGAATCCCAGGAGATTTCTGTTCCCATCAGACAGAAAGGTCATTCATTAGGACCACAGATAGAGAGACAGAAGAGCCTTTACAAATCAGTTAGTTCCATACCTACATCTTTAAGATGAGGAAACTGAAGTCAAGAGAGATCAAGTCACTTGCCCAAGGTAACATAGCTAGTAAGTAGAGGAGTCAGGATTCAAACCTGGCTCCTCTGATTTCAAATCCAGCATTCTCTTCACTCTGCCCAATGGTTCTTTAAATCTTTCCACAAACATTAAGGGTCTACTTCCTGAATAGCATTAGTTATCATATTGCTAACCTATCTGAAATGGAAAAAAGTGTGCATCTATTTTTTTCCAGTATTTTTATTTCCATTCCCTGGACCCATGAAGAAACAAACAGAGTTCAATGTGGAGAGTGCAAGAAACTTGACTTCCTAAGAAAGACAGAAAGGCCTTCTTGTCTCCCTTACAGAGCAAAGGTTTCAAAATAGGGAAATGGAGACCCTGAAGTTGTGTTTAATTAAATAACACAAATAAATTTCATACACACAGAAGGCATAGGCAGGATAAGAGTAGATCTACTTCAGAAAGATCCTTAGAGGTGCCAGGCTCTGTATTGGAACTAGGGTGGAGGGAGATTCATTCGCTATGTCAGGCCTTCTGCGTGTGCTTAAGGGTTTACTGTTTCTGAACTCGGGTGACTCCACAACAGCCACCCTCACTTTCTGGGATGAACCAACTTTCGGGAAAGAGAGGCAGGTAGAGAGGAAGGAAGGACCCTTGTGAATGGTTCTCCATCCTACCAAAGCTGAAATAGTTTTTTCCCCAGGAAGGCCAGACTTTGGGCACGAAGGGGACAGCCCCGGTTGTTCTTCCTCTTGCCTTGCATCTTGCCCTAAATAATTGTCACAAGAAGGAAATGCATATGCTTGGAGATCCTAAGTCTTTTCCTGTGCCTAGGCCATACAGAAGACAATGATCCATCTCTGGTAGAATTCTCTTCTCCTAGTTAAAGGTGCTTCCTAAAGGACCACTCTGATGATAATGCAGATTCTGGAGACGATCACCGAGTTTCATAATGAAAGGCAAACTGACGATCATCAATTCAAAAGACTTTACAGGCTATTTAATTGAACCTCTTAATTTTACAGAGGAAGAAACTGAGGCCTAAAGAGTTGAAATGGCTTATCTAAGGTGACACACATGACAACCAAGTGGTAAGGCTGGCACCTGAACTCAGGTCCTCTGCCTACAAATTCAGGACTCTTGTCACTGTGCCACTGCTGTCTCTTTTTGGCCAGGTGAGCATGTTTAATGATTACTTAATATTCTGTCTGCCACCCTAGGCCTAGGAACAACACAAAGAGAAGTGAAAGGAAACAATGACGACAATATAAATTAACCAAACAGCTTAAGTGCCTCTTCTTTAAAAAAAAACCAACATTTTTTTTAAAAGGTTGGGTTTTCCTCTCTTGTCCAGGTTGGAAATGCATGTTCATTCACCGGCTGACTCACTCTGAACAGCATGGGAGCTTTGACCTGTTCAGTTGTGACCTGGGCTACTTTCTCCCTCCTTAGATGAGCCTAATATCCCTCCTTCCTCCCCTCATTATATTATTGCCAAATTTAGTACGGACACCCATAGACTCCATCTACCACAACTCAGAACTCCCGAGCTCATGCTCCACCAACCTCAAGTCGCCCCGTCAGCAGGGATGACAGGCATGTAACACCATGTCAGACCCCAAACACGTTCAATCAGAATGGAAGACAGAAGAAGGAAGTTTCACAAGGAAGGCTAACAAGGCAAGACCGAGATCGACTGAGCACTCTGTTGGGAAAACTGCATACTTTAGGATGGTAACAGAAAACAGAGGTGGCGTTAACTCAAGGGAGAAAACTACAATGGGTACAATTTGCCCATCACTCCTGGTCCAGAACTCACCTCTAGGCCAGGTGCCTAAATCACAGCTTACCACCCCCACCCCTAAAATTCCCTGTAGCAAGAACAGGAAACACAGCCTTTAATATCGGAAGGAACTATTAGGTCATTTAACCAAGTCCAAATTCCTGATTTTATTGGTCAGGAAACTGGGACCCAGAAAGGGAAAGCCTTTGTGACTCAGGTAAAAAAATAGCAGAATCATACTGGACATCCAAATGACTGACTCCAAATTTAGTACTTCTTAGACAGTCCCACACCTTCATGCAACGGAGGTGACAGAATAGCCAGATTGCTATATTATGGGCAACTTCTACCAGGGGTGGGGAATCTGCGGCCTTGAGGCCACATGTGGCCCTCTAGGTCCTCAAACTTCACAGAACAAGATTTGGATTCAAAGGGCCGCACTTGAGGACCTAGAGGGCCACATGTGGCCTCAAGGCTGCAGGTTTCCCACCCCTGTAAAGCTATACTATTAAAATGAACTATTTTTCTTCCTTGAGATTAGAAATCTGTATATCTTTAATTTTCCTTGTTTATGGAATAGACATTTCCATACGCTAATTGGCTCCAGGAATAAAATGAAGGCTATGGTAAAAGATATTTTAAAAATGAAACCTTAATTATTCAAATTCTTTAGAATTTGCATGTGATATGTACTGCTCTGTTGCTTACTTTATGCTTCAGTTTAAAAATAATATTTTCACCTAAAGTATATGTATGCACATGTGCAACAAATATATATGGGCTTTAAGGGAGTTTCATCGGCACGCTGAATTCAGAAGGAAACTAAGTACAAGGACTTCATAAATTAAACACATTTGTTATTTTCTACTTGGAAGCCATAGTGTACTTGTAATTATAGTTCTAAAAGAATCATGATAATAGACTACTTAAAAAAAACCCACCACAACAACACCTACCTCAAATTTATTTTCTGAGGAGGTTTATAATTAGAATTACCTTGTAATTAAACTTCATAAAGGTAAATCAGCAATTGGATGGTGGTGTGTGACAGCTAAGTTCTACAACATAGAAGGTTAGAACTAGAATTAACCTCTGAGATTTTCTAGTTCCACTCTCTCATTTGGTAGATGAGGTAATTTAGGCCCAGAAAGTAGAAATGATTTGTCCAAGGTCACACAGAAAGTTAGCAGAGGAACCCAGGTTTGCTACCTCTAAATTCAGAACTCTTTACGCTGCCCCAGCATGGTATTTTTTCCATATTGACACACTGTCCCTCTTGGCTGGGACCACGTAGCCTAGGTTTTATTCTGACACTTTGCTAAAAATCTACTGCAGTCCTCAGCAAGATCTTGGAGTGAGGAACAATTGTAGGATGTGGCCTTGACAGCCTATAGATCACTCAAGTATTTGATGAAGTTCTACTAAAGCCTGAATAAACAAAGGTTTACTCCCACAGGAACCAAGCCATAAGTTAAAATTATACAAGTTTTCCCTATTCTGAGTAAACTTGTTTGTTTTTATAATTCACCATAGGGAAAGAGTCCTCAACTCCCTATACACTGATTTATTTACAGAGCCTTCTGGTCCACTAACAGATTGGATAGTTCAGTGTTTAGATAGCAGCCCTCCTAAAGCCTGGACTTGGTGTGACTACTAATACTGATTTAGAATCAGAAGGGAGAATGGGATAATGAATGCATCAGTCACTCTCTTCTTAGACCCATGCATGCTGAACGGAACTGATGAGAGAAACACAGGAATGCTTCTTCCTATGAAAATTCAGGCTACTGAAATTCAGAAGAGGCACAGGAAAATGTTGTCATGCCTTGACACCACCCTTAAAACCCTTAAATATAATATATAGATCAGGGTAATCAAAGTCTTCAGGAATTACCTATTTGATGGAAACTCACTCTTTTTCTCACTGAGGGGCTATTTCCTTGTGGGCTTTTAAAATATGATTTTCTTGAAATGATCATGGGTAGCTCCTATTATTGTTAAGTGCAACATATTTAAATATTAAAAATGCATCAAATATTTGGTAATCTTATATAGACTTTTGCTATATAAACATCGAAAAAATAAAAAAATTTATGTAGAAAATTAATTGTGCTTTTTTAAAAGAAAGCTCGAATGGTTTATTTTAATAAATCTTTTAAATATCCATTTCAGAGCTACATAGCAGTTTAAAAAATTGTTAACTATACTGTTGGATCTATTTTGAATTGATGTACCATATCTGGCATCTCACATAAAATATACCACGAGGTCTGAGTAATTTGGATCTTTAAATTATGGTTTTAATAGTAGCTTTTACCTACACAGATGAAGAGATCTGTGGGCTAGGACATCTCTATTCTTGTCATTGTTCACTAATCGTGGCACTACTTCACAAAGCATGGAGATGTATCATAAATTGGTGGAGTAGCTCAACAACTAAATGTTTTGACAAATGGCCTAGTTTCGATAGTAGAGTGTTAACAACGCAATGATAAACCCAAATTATGTTGCAACTTGTCACATAGAAGATACAGAATGTGTTTATGTAAGAAACACATTTTTAAGCTATTCATGACAATTTCCATTGTATTACTGAGTTAGCACCCAATTAAATTTTAAGGTTTTTTTTTTATTGTCTTCTCTATCTCTAGCTTAAATTTTTAGTGCCACTGAAAATGTTATAGATAGGCTTGCCTTCCCACAAGCATGACTTTTTTCATTTTCTACCATGTTCCTTCCAGGTGGTATGACATATTCAATTATGATTATCTGCAGAGGTGTTATTTTTTAAATATTTCATAGCTCATACTCCAAGTGCATCATTGTAGGTGATGGCAGTTGCCACTTTTCCATCTTCCACTGTAAGAATTGTGCATATTCTTCAAAGGTTTCAGGACAAGTGATGGCATGTTCAATGTCATCGCTGAATACTCCAACATGCCGATGACACAGGCCTCCATAAAGCAAGCCTTTCCAGGGGAAGTAAAAGTTTTCAACAGTGCATGCCATGTAATGTAATTTGGCTTCCCAGTCCAGCAGAGAAATTCGAGAGCAACGTTTGTACTTTGAAAGCAGACAAGGAGAGTTCTGACTTACTAGACTGCTTTGTTTCTGAAAGCATTAATGTGAAGCAGGGAAAGACAAATGCTGTGTGTTGGGGTAACAGAGATTGTAGGGAAGGGGCACACACTAGTCTTGCTCATTGTAGTGTGCAAAAGGAGACCCTAACTATCTCTCCTTGTCCCTGAGGCTCAGTGTTCTGGGAGACTCCTTTTACGCCTTCTCCTCCATATCAGGCGACCTTGAGAGAGAAACTCCAAAGAGGAGAGAAAAGCCTCAGAGGCCTTAAAGTTCCTATAACCCACCAAAGGTCATCATTTGCTCCTCCTTCCAGCAAGTAAAAGGGTGGACTGCTAGCTGGTGATGGAGGAAAGATGCTCATATTTTGGGATGGAAATTCAGAGAAAATGCCCTCTTCGTGAGGTCTCAAGGACAGCTTGGTCTCCCTCCCAGGGGCAGTGGCTTTACTTTAATCACCTTCTCGGCACGTTGGCAAGTTGACGAAAGTAAAGACATTAAACTCTATCATTATCGAGAAGCACAAGAAAACGACATAGAGCACCAACACGTAGATGCCAAGTTTCTTGTCAAGTCTCCATTTATTTAGATGGATACCAAGTACCTGGAAGCAAACAAATAAGATGTTAGGCCTCTTAGACAATCAAGGGCTATGAGCCCTTTCAAATGAAAATATCAACTAAAGGGAAATGTATAAGAACCCCAAGGACTCAGCAACCACGTTCCAATGGTGAATGTAAAAAGGCACATTTTTACATGTGCACATTTCCTTCAACAAACCAGGCTACTGGATGATTTAGAAGAGTAGTTCAAAATTTACCAAGGACTTTCAAATACCCAAATCCAATGGACCTTTTCAGTGCTTGGTCTTCTTGACAGCTTTTGACACCATGTTCTAATGTAATAGATGCTCTTCTTTCGCTCCGCAGAACCATACCTCTCTGTTACTTTTCCTGTTTCCTTAACCCCTTCTTCTCTATCTCTTTTGCTGGTTTTTCATTTTCTCTCATAAAGTGAGTGACCCTCAAGGGTCAGGCCATTATAGTCTTCTTTTCTTTCTCTATACTCACTCCCTTGGAATTCTCATTCGCTATCATGCCTTCAACTACCTGTATGTAGATCAAAAACTTAATTTCTAACTTCAGCCTTGACTTCCCTTCTGAAGTCCAGTTCACAGTTGGACTAGATGACCTCTGGGGTCCTTTCCAACTTTAGCTATATGATCCTATGATTTCCAGCCTTTTACAGGATAATTTTATTTGGACTGTATCAGTGGGACCAGTGCCAAGATCATTATCTTTCCTCTTAAAATGCTTTTCCTTCTGACTTTAGTACATTTGTGGCATCACTATTTACCTGATCTCCCATATTTATGATACTGGGGTTATTTCTCTCTTTCTCACCTTCCATAACCAGTTGGTTTCTGGATCCTTTCAATGTTGTCTCCTTCTCATCTTTTGAATCAATTATTTCTTCTCTAATTCCACTCCACCAACCCCAGGTCTCAGTACTACTAATTACCCAGATTATTGCATTAGCTTCCCACAAGGTCTTCTTTTTCCATTGCCTGCTCTTCCTCCAAACCATCCTCCATACCTTTAGCAGAATGGTATTTTTGAAGCTTAGATCTTAGATTTTTAGAGTCATTCTTAGAAACTATCAGTGACTCCCTATTACCTCCTGAGCAAAGTTAATTCTTCTCTAACGATGGATACTTAAGACCCTCTGCAATCGGTACCATCCTACCTTTCCAGCCTTTTGTCAATATGCACCACACTCCTACGCCTTCATCTCTCTAAACTCCTAAGTACATCCTCCACTCAGATGATAAAATGATCTTCTTAAAGTGTAGCTCTGACCATGTCACCACTCCCCTATTCAAAAAGCTCCAGGGGCTCCTTATTGCCTCCAGGAACAAATATAAAATCTTCTCTTTGGTGTTCAAAGCCCTTCATAACCAGCCTCCCCTTGCCTTCTCCACTCCCCCCACCCAATCTTTCCAATCTCTTTACAGTTGACACCTTACACTTGATACCATAAGATATGCTCTAAAATCCAGGAACATTGGCTTCCTTGCTGTTCCTTATACAAGATGCTTTGCCTCCTGACTCAAGGCCTTTTTGCTGGCTGTCCTCAATACTTAGAATGCTCCCCCTCTTCATTCTTGCCTCCTGGCTTCCCTCTAGTTCCAGGTAAAATATAATCTTCTATGGGAAGCTGTTCCTAATCCTCCTTAATGCTAGCGCCTACCTTCTGTTGATTATTTCTAGTTTTTCCCGATTATATCTTGTTTGCAAGTTGTCTCCAATGATTAGACTGTGAGCTTCTTGACAGCAAGGACTGTCGTTTGCCTTTCTCTGTATCCTCAGCACTTAGCTCAGTATCCACCACATAGTCAGTGCTCAATAAATACAACTAATATCTTTGCTTCCTTTCTTTGCTTATTGAATTCCTGTTGTTGTTCAGTTAAATCTGATTCTTTGTGACCCTATCTGGGTCACATGGGGGGGGTTCTTGGCAAAGATACTGGAGTGGTTTACCATTTCCTTTTCCAACTCATTTTACAGATGAAAAAACTGAGGCAAATAGGGTTAAGTGACTTGCCCAGGGTCACACAGCTAGTAAGAGTCTCAGGCAGGATTTGAACCCAGATCTTCCACATTTCAGGTACTTTATCTGCTATACCACCTAGTTGCCCTAAAGATACTGGAGTGGTTTGCCATTTCCTTCTTCAGTGGATTAAGGCAAACAGAAGTTAAATGACTTATCCAAGGTGACACAGGTAGTAAGTATCTGAGGCAGGATTTGAACTCAAGTCTTCCTGACTCCAGGCCTAGGGCTCTCTCCACTAAGCCACCTAGCTGCCTCCTAGCAAGTCTTTAAAGTCCAACTCAAATGCCACTTCCTCTAGGAAGCCTTCCTCAAGCTACCTAGTATGTAATGACTTTGCCTCTTAGTACTCATATGGTACTTTGTATTGTAACTCTCTAATACACCAATCATGCATTAGTGGAGCATTATAATTATCTGGGTTAGTGTCTTATTTTTCCACATAGCTGTACAACCCTAAGCTTCTTCAATTCAATAATAATTTCTAAAGCACCTACTTTGTGCAAGGCACTGTGCTATGGGCTGGGGATTGAAAGATAAAAAGCACAACTGTGCCTGCCCTCAAGGAGCTTGCCTTCTATTGGAAGTTCCCTGGCAAGGAAAGACTGCAGCTTATCCATTTTTTGTATCTATCTCAGTGCTGCTCACAATGCTCTTAAAAACACAGCAGGTACCTAATAAAGTGTGTTTCATTGTATTATATTCGGCAAGCCTCTTTACAATTATATAATCTTAATTCTAGTCTTTGAACTATTCTTAATTTTATTTTATCCTCTCCACAGGGGGCCAGATTCACCTCCCTGCAGGCAACTTGACTCTCAATTTGACACCAAGGACCTTTTTTTTCTCACTAGCCACTTTCTTTAGGATTGCTGTTTCTCTCTCCCTCTCTCTCCCCTTCCTTCCTTCCTTTCCTCTTGTCTCTTCCCCCCCCCCCATCTCATTAAAGACTCATGGGCCCAATCCCACTAATGATCAGCACAGGAGATTTGATTTATTCTGTTTCAGACTACTGTGGCTCAGATCTCAGAGAAACTCCAGATTCAGCCTTTCCAGTAGCAAGGATGACAGGTGAGCACCACCATGGCTGGCTACATGTTACCTTCCAAGGGCAGCAATGGTAGCAAACAGAGAGTTGGCCTCTGAGTTAGACAGAAATGAGTTCATGTCTTGACTCTGACACATACTAGATTTATGATCCTGGACAGATCACTTAATGCCTATGACCAAGATAACAATTTCAGATTGTAAACTGCTGAAAAGGTGCCACCCATAGATGAAGTTTATCATAAAGAGCACCCTATATCACTGAAGGGCAGCTAGGTGACACAGTGGATAGAACGCTGGGCTTGGAGTTGGGGAGACCTGAGTTCAAATCCAGCCTCAGATGCTTACTAGCTGTGTGACCCTGGGCAAGTCACTTAATGATATTTGTTTCAGTTTTCTCATCTGTAGAATGAGATGGAGAATGAAATGGCAAACCACTCCAGTATCTCTGCCAAGAAAACTCCAAATGAGGTCATGGAGAATTGGACACGACTGAAAAGAATGAACACCAACAAAATATCATTGAAATCATACATATGGTTAAAAAAAAAGTTAACTTTATCCTCATTACCATGGATTATTGAGGATTAGTGGGAAGAGGATAACTGGTTCACCATTATTGTGGCAGCATGCAAATATACATATTCGTTGGAGACCAGAAATGAATGTAAGGGTGCATAAAGAGTCTATTTTAAATTACTAAAAACTTACAGTAAGAGAAACAGATCCGAGCAATAGCACAACTGAATAGACCAGCCCCTTGCTGTTTATCTTTATCTAGAAAAAACAAAAGGAAGAACAGCTTTAATCTTGACTGTTCAGTACTACAGAAGAAAATACAACCGAATGCTGCACCTGAATCATTCTATAATATAAACATTTTAGCTTTCATACGATCCGAGGATTTTAAAGCTAGAAAGGAGCACAATTAGGAGTCTCCTTGTCCAGGCTTCTCATTTCACTGATAAGGACTCTGGGGCCAGAGAAAGGAGGTGATGTCCAGGATTTGAATCCTGACTCTTTCACTCCAAATCCAATACTCTTTCCACTGCTCTGTACTGAACTGGCTCCTTGGTCCAACTCACAGATTTTTACACTGAGGAAGGACCGCAGAAATCATTTACTTCCTCATGTTATAGATGAGGAAACTGATACAAAGAAGGTAAGTATATTGTCTACCATATATGCAGAACAGAGTGATATACATTTTATTAACCTAGACATTTAACTCTTCAGTGATAGTACTATTCCATTTAAAAAAACAAACAAACAAACAAACAAACAACTGGTTCTAATAGAAACAGGGGAGCTTTAAATTTCATTCTCTTTAACCAACATGCACCCAGCGATAAGGTTAGTCAGACTGATTTGGACTGGAGAAAACGAATTTGTTGAGGTACTGCTGTAATTCTGGGGAGATTAATACTTGTCCTTGTCTGCCTTGAAGGGTTGCAAGTAATGATTGATGGGAAAGCAATTCTAAGTTCCCTGAAGGCATAGACAGGAACATATTTTATCTTTGTACCTCTTCCTGACCTCTAAAGGTCCTCACAATAGGAAATGCTTAATAAATAGTTCAATCATTCCACCTCTCTGAACATCAGTTTTCTCATCTGTAAAATGGGGATACTGATATCTGCCCTACCTACTTTGCAGGGCTATTTTGAGGAAAGGGATTTGTATACTTGAAAGCACTCTAGCAATACGAGTTATTATTTCTCATGAATGTTTGTTGAATTGGTGTTCTTTGAAATTTGTTATCGTTGAGTTGTTTCAGCTGCGTCTGACTCTTCATGACCTCATTTGAGGTTTTCTTGGCAAAGATACTGGGATGGTTTGCGATTCCCTTTTCCAGCTCCTTTTACAGATGAGGAAACTGAGGACGACAAGATTAAGTGACTTGCCTAGGGTCACACAACTAGTAAGTGTTGGAAGCCAGATTTTAATTCAAGAAGATAAGTCTTCCTGACTCCTGGCCTGGCACGCTGTCCATTTCATTATCTAGCTGCCTTTGGAATACATTACATTGAATTGTAAGCTCCTTGAGGAATTCTATTGCTTCTTTTTGTATCCCCAGACCTTAGCACAATGCCTGGGCTAGTAGGTACTTAATATGTGTTTATTGATTGGCTGATTGATTGAAGAAGGATCTTAGTGAATCCTTAGTAATGGCTGCTGTGAGGGCTGGGAATAGAGGTAAGAACCAGTTGTCATTGTAGATGGCAGAGGGAGACCTTGCTCCACACTGGGCCAGGAGAAGAGCTTATTAAAAAGCCTGGCCCTGATGGCGTGGGCAGGGATAGTTAAAAGTCAGCATGGCTCTTGTTAGCTTATGGATTCAGTGCAAGATCAATAGAACCATTTCTTGGTCTATTCCTGAGAAAGCCTTTCATGTACTGGACTTCACTTTTGTTTGCTGACTCTGATTTTGTATTTTCTTGCTACTCCTTTGCCCTGGTGATTTACAGTGTCAGTTATCCTCTTAAAAGTAACGATCCAGCTCTGTTTTATGGACTTTGGTTACTGATGTCCCTGAACAGCCATTGGCTAGAAATGGAAGCAAGAGGGTGGGCAAAGGAGAAAGAGAGGGAAAGGAAAGAGGAGAGAGTCCAAGATTGGGTTGGGGTAGGGTCTTTTCACCAACCATGTCCCAAGAGGTGGAATTTCTCTGAGCCTCATCTATTGAATTTATATCCTGCCTCAGTGTTTAGATTTCAGAGGGACATCTAACCAGTTATCCTGGTGGAGAGGAGGGGGAAAGAAGAACCAGAGGTCACAAAAAGTCCTCCTTATATTCGCCTGAGAAAGCTGTGTCACCAGTTTCTGGGGAACTATACTACTAATGGTAACTCTTTACACTTATATAGCACAGTGCTTGGCATACTTTAAGCACTTAATAAATGCTTTTTCACCTATCCACCCACCCATCCATTCATCCACCCACCCATCCATCCAATCATTCATATAGTGCTTTAAGATTTACAAGGCACTTTCTTCATAACAATGCTATTAGGTAGGTAATGTGTGGATTCTTAGAAACAATTTATAGATGAGAAAACTAAGTCTCAGAGAGGCTTACTGAAATGTTCTAGGTCAGACAGCTACTAGACATGAGAGCTGGGATTCAAGCCGATGGCCCCTGACCTCAAATTCTGTGCTTTTTCACTAATTATGCTATTGAAAAAAGAGATAGAGGGTTAGGGGCAGGCATGTGGTATGTGGGAAGAAGGAGAAAGTGTTTTCTTCATACCCAAGAGAGAACTGACCGGTCATTTCTTATTTCTAGTTGGTTTTGCATTGCAAAGAAACAATTCAATTTGTTTGAAAGGTAAGAAAAGTATACATACAGTTGATCCATAATTAATGACTATGGTTTGCAGTCCCCATGGTACTCCCAGTCCTACAAGGATGTCGAACACATTGCTCCCTATGGTATTAGATACTGCCATATCTCCAAGGCCTAGAAAAAAAATCCCCGGATTTCATTAATCAAAAGCACAGCTTTAATGGATTTTGTGATCTCAACAGCTTAGGTATTTCCTTCACTGGTACAGCTCTTAAACTTCTTGTTCCTTTATATCCCAAGCAATTCTTGGTCATGCCCTTCAATAAATTCCATATAGAATGTTTAATCAAATCAAGGAAGCTTTCCTTTTTTTTGTTAACAGAGAAAAGGAAAAAATAGCAAATACATTTTAATATCTATATTTAAGAGGTTCATTTAGCTGCTTCACTCTGAAACGCTCACTATCTTTGCTGGGAACACAAATTCACTGTTTCTTATAAGACCAACATAAGGCCTGTCTCCTCCATGAATCTATCCTTAGTTACCCAAGCCCACAATGATGTTCAGGGATGGGGAACCTTTGGCTTCAAGGCCACATGTGGCCCTCTAGATTCTAAAGTGCGGTCCTTTGATTGAATCCAAACTTCACAGAACAAATCCCCTTAATAAAAGGATTTGTTCTATAAAACTTGAACTCAGTCAAAAGGCCGCACCCAAGGACCTAGAAGGCCACATGTGGCCTGGAGACTGCAGGTTCCCCACCCTTGTATCTATTCCCAGTTTGTTTCCTGAGAATGAGTGTCCTTTCCCCAACTAAATTATAGGCACCTTGAAGGTAAGGAATTGCATCTTCTGCTTCTTTGTTAACTCCATGCTAAGCACACAACAGATAGCTAAACATCTCAGGGAACTTTGAAGCCTGGAACCAAATTTAAAATCTAAACCTTGGGCTGCGTAGTCTATCTATTTCTTGAGTGGCAACTTGCTAAACTTTCAGTTTGCATAACAGTGGCACTAAAAATGTTAGTAACCACAATAGTGTTTTGATGTCAGAGGAGGGTCATTATTGCTATGATTTCAGGAAGGTTGAAAACCAATTATTGGGCCCTCTTGCACATTTATATTTCACTGAGGCTGGTCCTCCCCTCCCAGGAGTACTAAGTACCACCTATCCCTCAAAGCCCCGCTCACGTCTCTCCTCTGTGAAGCTTTGTCTCATTATCCTCACACATGACATCAATCTTTTTTCTTTCTTTTCCATTCTATCTGCCTTTGCATAGGCTATATCTCTCACGCCTGAAATGCACTCAATCCTCACCTTTGCTTTTTAGCACTCCTAGTTTCCTTTAAAGCTTAATTCAAATACTACCTCCTATAGGAAGTCTTTATTGATTTGATCACATCAACCCCTGCTCCGTGAGCTCTGCCATGTGCAACACCCCACACCCCCATTCAATAAATTCTAGTGGCTTCCTAGTATCTCCAGGAGCAAATATAAGATAATGTTTAGCATTTAAAACCCTTTATAACACAGCCTTCTCCAACCTTTCCATTCTTCTTACACTTTATTACCCTTCCTTCCAGGGACGCTGGTCTCCTGGAGGTTTCACGAACGCTATACTCCATCTTTTGGCTCCAGATAGTCTTTGGCTGTCCCCCATGACTGAAACATTCCCTCCTCCACTCTGACTACTGACCTCCCTGGCTTCCTTTAAGTCCCAATTAAAATTCCTCCTTCTACAGGAAGCCTTCCCCAACCCTTCTTAATTCTAGTACTTTCCTTCTTAATTATTTCTTAAATATCTTGTATATAGCTTGCTTTGTATATATGTCTGCAGGTTGTTTCCCCCCATTAGATTATGAGCTTGAGGGCAGGGACTGCCTTTTGCTTCTTTTTGTATCTCCAGAACTTGGCATATTGTGTGACACACAGTAGGTGCTTAATAAATGTTTTATTGATTTCCCCCCTAGCTGTTAATGCCACTCTTCCAAAATTACTCTGTATGCTTTTGCCTATACTTCTTTGTGTTTATGTAATCTCCCCTGACAGAATATAATTCCCCTGAAGACAGGGACAGTTTCAATTGGATCTTTGCATACCATCACCTAGCATGGTGCTTGTCACAAACCCCCAATAAATATTAATGGATTTCAGTTCATGGTAATTAGAAATTATCTACTTCAACTGTTTCATTTTATCGAGGTGCAAACTAAGGTCCAAAGAGGCCTGATCTGCCCTAGTTCATGCAGTTAATAGCATGGCTGGGACTAGCACTTGGGTTTCCTGACTCTGCTTTTATTATATGACTGGTAATCTTGCTCTAAAGTTATTTCTAAGTAAAGCATTCCAAATGTGTATCAAGTGAGGTAACCATTTGGAAGAATGATGCTCAAGTTGATATTTCAATGCTTGTATGGTTATGAGGGGAAAATCAGTCACATCACAGATCTAATTCTAAAAATGGTCAATAAAAGGAGAAAACTATGCTGTCCTTACAATTAGTGTCCACTAAAACCTGCAGAACTTGTAGTTAGGTGGAAAAACTTTTGTGGATTCAGAATAAAATCTAGTCCCTGGGGGTCTTTGAGTTTGGTCACCATTCAAGCCAGAATGTTGAGGATTTTTGGCATTTTTGAAGCAATAAGTGGCAAATAAAGTTTGCTTCAAATATTTAATGTGTTTTGAATTGGAGGGGTCCTTGGGTCAATTAGAACATTTCCCTACTCTGACCCCCACCATTTTACAGAGAAGGAAAATGAGGGAAATTATTTTATTATTATATTAATAACCAATTATTAAATTGGAATCCAGACTTTTCTCCTTTATTTCCTCATTTGAGGCCCAGATCCTGTAAAAAAAAAATCGATTTTTAAAGGACATGACTGATTAACGAGGTTGTCTTAACCCTCAAGGAACATGCTCTTTAACTTGGGCAGGACCCCACCAAACTAGGAGACCCAACTTTTGTTTAGAGTGTAAACAGAATCCAGTCTGGGGGGATTCTTACCCCTAGGAAAAAGAGCCCCTGATCTTGTACCCCTTGGTTAGAGTTTAGGGTGACCCAGCTCATGAAGGAGAAAATTAACCAGTGTTCTAGATGAAGATGGATTCCTCTGTCCAGTCTGCTGGAGGCAAAATCATTCACATCACATACCTAATTATTTTTTTTTCTTTTTTGGTGAGGCAATTGGGGTTAAGTGACTTGCCTAGGGTCACACAGCTAGTAAGTGTCAAGTGTTTGGTCTGAGACAGGATTGAACTCAGGTCCTCCTGACTCCAGGGCAGGTGCTCTATCCACTGCACCACCTAGCTGCCCCTACATACCTAATTCTTAAAAAATGGCCAATAAAAGGGGAAAACTGCTCTAATGACAGTTTTAATTCACTATAAACATGCAGAACTTGTAGTTCACATGGAAAGTCTTTTGTGGATTCGGAATCAAATCTGGGCCCTGGGTCTTTGAGTTTGCTCACCATTCAAGCCAAAGTATTGAGGATTTTTGACAGTCTCATGATTAAGCCACATTCTGAGCAGGAGGAGCTGAAGACTTCTAGCTCACCTCCTCATTAAATGTCCACTAATCAGGCTTGATTCTCACTTGTTGGGGCACTCCCTTTCAAAAAAATATTTAGGGCTTTCAGGCTCTCCATGGGTCATCTTTGGTTGTCAAGAGAAATCACTAACCATCAATTTATTGATTGCCAGCTAGCCTAATTAATAAACTGATTATTAATTACCCAGAAACTCTTTCTTGGGGTTTTTCATTGAGCTATCACTTGAACTCAGGCCCTGTAACTCCAATTTCAGCGCTTTTTGCTGTTTCACTGTACAGTGAATGCCATTAAGAGGAAATGTGAAGCAGCTAGCATAAATGAGGTAGGCAGGAGATCAAGAAAACAGAAATGCTTTCTGCTTTTAAAAACAAAGACCAGTAACTTGATTTCCAATGATTATATTTGTTAGAGGGCAATTTACAATGAGAAAAAGAGTACAGAAAAACAGTAATCCCTGGATGTGTTCATTAATAAGGCTTCTAGTGGTTCTAGTCTCTTTTGAAGTTATTTCTCAAAATCCCCCCCCAAAAAAAACCCCAAACACCTTTCTGAATTTTGTAAGCTTGATAAGGGTGTTCCTTAAACATCTGACTTTATATAGTAGGAATAAGATTGGAAATATGAAGAAGAAGAGAACTTTGTATTACATACTATTATATATAATATTAATGACATTATATATTATGATATATTATTAATATGTAATTAATGACATATAGTATTAATGATATTTTAGGTGATTCAGCTATCTAATTGATTTTATACATTTTTGAATATTTTATACTATACAGACATATCATTTATAGTTAAACATGTTTAAAAATTTGTGCATGAGTCACAAATATAAAATCTTCTTACATTGGTTTTATGAAAAAATCCTGTTTCACCTATGTCATTTCTATTCACAGCAATTTTTCCAGGAATAATAATAACAACAAGGATAATAATCATCTCTAAGATTTCTATAGCACTTAGAAGGTTTGAAAAGTCTTTTTCTATATGTTATCTCATTTAATCTTCATGACAATCTTATATGGTAGATGCTTTTATAATTCCCAATTTACAGCTGAAGAAATTGAGAGTAAAACAGGTTAATTAAGTGACCTGGCCAGGGTCACACAGTTAGGAAGAGTCTGAGGCAGGAGGACCATAACCTGCTTAAAGTGTGATAGTTGCCTGTGTATCCCATCTTCCATCTTAGGCTGTGAGTTTCATGAGGGCAGATAGTGTGTGTCAGGCATCTTTTTAATTTCCCGTAGTTCCTGACATATGGTCTCGTACAAAGTAGGCCCAAAAGAGGAGTTTGTCAGAAGTACCATATTGTCTTTATAATGTAATTGATGTGTTGGATCTTCAATTGAACATTTATTAAGCACCTTAGATATATGACGTCAGCCTTCTAAGTACTCCCTTCATGAATGCTAGTTTTGACTTTTCTGCACTTTAGTAGATAATTTAATGAGTTGGGAGTGGGGGAGGCAAAAAATTCATCCTGGGTGGGGAGGAATCAGTCTTCCAGTGATAAGTATTCTTGGAGGACAGACACACAATCTGTTTCCAGGCTGAAACCTGCTAGCACTTCTACCTAAAAGAAACCACTGTCTCCTCCATGCCATGAT